CTCTCTCTCTCTCTCTCTCTCTCTCCCTCTCCCTCCCTCCCTCCCCCCCCCTCTCTCTCTCAGAACTTATTCCAGGTTTCAAATGATGAAAGTGTTGACGTCCGTACTAACGTGTGTCGTGCTTTAGTGATGTTGTTAGAAGTCAGAGCTAACGATATGATGCCACACATGAATGCCATCATTGAAGTAAGAATAACAAATAAACAATTATCATATGAAAGTACATATGTAATGTACATGTACATGTATAGTGTGTATATCCATACATGTATTAATTGTATTTACATGTACATGTATTACATCTTAATTCATATGCTAATATAGAGAGAGGGTATGTAATCTTCTATAGAAAGGTTATCTTTATGTACATGTGTCTCTATATGTATCATATATTATATATATTCTATTATTTCTCTAGTATATGTTAGTACATACGACTGATAATGATGAAAATGTTGCCATCGAAGCTTGTGAGTTTTGGCTCACAATAGCAGAAATCACTGACATTTGTAAAGTATCACTACAACCTTACTTGGGAAGGTAAGCGAGTTAAGACTAAGTGGAGAGTGGAAAGAAGGGGGAGAGAGAGAGAGAGAGAGAGGGAGGGAGGGAGGGAGGGAGGGAGAGAGAGAGAGAGAGAGAGAGAGAGAGAGAGAGAGAGAGAGAGAGAGAGAATTGGTCACTTGTTGTTGTTGTCTGTACTTTTGAGTGGGAGATGCATACACATTGTACTATAAATTCCTTACCTTAATAGTTAATAATAATAATAATATTGTTGTTGTACTCACTGTAGGTTAATACCAATATTGCTTAAAGGGATGAGATACTCAGACTCGGACATTGCTTGTTTAAAACCAGACGTTGCCGATTCCAATGTCCCTGATAAAGCCTCCGAAGTCCGCCCGTTTATAGTCCGTGGGAAGAACCATATGGCAGACGGCACTGATGATGACGAAGAAGACGAGGAATTTAGAGAAGAAGTACTGTCAGACTGGAATTTAAGAAAGTAATTTGATTCATTAATACGCATGTTCACTTTTTGTTGAAAATGTGTATATGCAATGCAAGGTTCTACCTAGAAATAAATTAGAGGTGGTTGGAGATTAATATTGTTCCTTTTAACTTTAAGTACACCATACTAGTAGACTACAGTATCATGCTTTATGTATGGCTATTAGTATTAATTGGCTGGTTGGTCTAAGTGATGAACTGGTTGGTTCATTTGTTGAGGTGGTTGTCCCGACCACCCCCGACCACCATAGGCAGAACTATGACAATAGTGTATATACATGTACATACATGTATAGCACAGTCAGAATGTATACTTTCTGGTTTCGTAATTACATTTGTACATATAGTCATGTACCATAAGTATGCCAATGCTTCTAGCTATACAATACATGTACATGACACATGTATGTACATGTATACATGTATATATGTGTGTTTTTAGTTGTTATAATGTTGATATGTTAATGAGTGATTGCACTTGAACAGTTTGTGTTATGTACTTGTAAACATTTGTTTACGTACGAGAAGGTAAAGTATTCATATTTATAATGATAAATGTACATGTTCACAAGACTACAGTATTAATATGGGATTCACACTGCATATATTAATTGTTACATGTATTACATGTACATGTAGTTAATATGTGCCACACTGCATGTACTGTTGCAATAACTGAGCCTGTTAAATACATGTACATGCACATGTTCACAAGACTACAGTATTAATATGGGATTCACACTGCATCTATTAATTGTTACATGTATTACATGTACATGTAGTTAATATGTGCCACACTGCATGTACTATTACATGAACTGAGCCTGTTAAATACATGTACATGCATATACATGTACTATTGGATATTGTTTTACTTTTCATTTGATATTTATTTATTCATTTTTATTTTGTTTATAGTGTTTCAGTAGAGATGATATCGTAATATTGATATTACTCTATCTTTATTGATTTAATTTGATATCACTAAAACACATACTATACAATCTACATGTATATGTGTATACATATTCATAATTGACATATTAATGCATTTAGTACACGTATAGTTATTGGCTTGTCATATTTCTTATCATTTTACTGTTATTTTAACTTTCTAAGATTACCTTGCAACTCTTTTATTTGAGTTTCCTTCTTTAATACATTAAGGCCACTATACACCAGGCAATTCTATTGCAGGCAATGTGTGGTTACTTTAATGTTGTAAGCAATGTGTTGCCTAGAATAGAACATGTTTCTATTCTAGGCAACAGTGTTGCCTGAAGATCAAAGTAACCACAGATTGCCTGCAATAGCATTGCCTGGTGTATAGGGGCCTTAAGGAAGACCAATACATGACGTACTGTACTTAATACATTCCCTTGTATTGTGCATGTATTTATATTTTGGACTTTTGAGACTTAGATGTATCTCTTTTAAAACTTTTTGCAAAATAGAATTAAAACTGCATGGCCCCAAATTTTTTAATCTCATCTTCTTCTTCTCTTGGCTTAATTTTTGCTTTTCCTTTTGCTTTTACCTCATTTTTATTTTCGTTTCTCTCTCCCCCTTTCTCTTTTTCTCTCCCCCTCTCTCTCTCAGATGTAGTGCTGCTGCTCTCGACGTCCTCTCAAACGTCTTCCACGATCTCTTACTCCCCGTCCTCCTTCCTCATTTAAAGGCCGCCTTCAATTCAAGCGATTGGTTAGAGAAAGAGTCAGCCATTTTAGCTCTCGGGGCTGTCGCTGAAGGCTGCATGGACGGAATGTCGCCTCATCTAACGGAGATACTGCCTTACCTAATTCTTTGTCTGTCAGATACAAAGGCTCTCGTGAGATCTATTACTTGTTGGACTCTCTCCCGCTATTCCTCCTGGGTGGTCAAACAGTCCCACGAGTCTTATCTCAGGCCACTCATGTCGGAGGTGGGCTTTAATTAGAAATTGTTGGGCTTTAATTAGAACTTTTCGGGCATCTATTAGAGTTTTGTTGTTGTGGGCAATTGATATGCTGTATGTATTAGAAATTGAATCCACGCCTACATGTATCAATCTACATGTACTTGTATTATGTATGCATGTACATGTGTCCCCTGTACTATATTAACCCATATGGATTTTGAGTAACTTTAAAAAATTTGTAAAAAATCCAATTTTGATCAGAATCAGCTCAAACTTTCTATGCAACATAAGAACATGTATATGCATCAGGAAAAATTATAAAAATGGAAAATTCTCTCCTTTTCAATTTTGGCAAAATTTGGCCCGAGACCATGTACTATAGTACAGGGACTTTGACCTGATTTTGGAGCAACTTTAAAAATTCATAAAAAATCCAATTTTGATCAGAATCAGTTCAAACTTTCTATGCAACATAAGAACACGTATATGCATCAGGAAAAATTATAAAAATGGAAAATTCTCTCCTTTTCAATTTTGGCAAAATTTGGCCCAAGACTATGTACTATAGCCCACGGTCTCTAACCAAATTTTGAAGCAACTTGAAAAATTTTCAAAAATCCATTATTCCCAGCTACTCTACAGAATATAAGGCATTCTCTCTCTCTCTCTCTCTCTCTCCCCCCCCCTCTATCTCTCTCTTTCCCCTCTCTCTCCATTTCTCCTCCATTAGCTCTTAAAGCGTATATTAGATTCAAATAAAAGAGTCCAAGAAGCTGCCTGCAGTGCTTTTGCTACACTAGAAGAGGAAGCCTGTACTGAGCTCGTACCCTATCTCTCCGATATCCTTCAAGTACTCGTGTTTGCTTTTTCCAAGTATCAGGCAAAGAACCTTCTCATATTGTACGATGCTATCGGTACATTAGCCGATTCTGTTGGTAGCTGTCTGAACAATCAGGTCAGGCTGTTGTAACACACACCGTATAGCGGTAAATTTTTAAGGGAGTTAAATTTGGCAAGTTGTTAAATTTGGTGATTGGCGAATTTGTAGCTACGTGCCATTGAACATGCACATATTGGCTCAAAATGGTGGATTTTATTTTAGCAAATGGCTATCATAATGCCAAATTAACTGAATTTAATTCCCTCCAAAATTTCCCACCATTTGTACATGTGCATGTATTTTAACTTGCTCTACTTGTGTTGCTTGTTGCATGCAATTGATTGTTGGTATATACATGTTGGTTAATGTGCTAAAAAATTTTTAACTGAATATTTTTCTAAAATTATGTGCTTTAATTTACTCAATTATCATAATTATTGTTATTTTTATCGAAGCTGTATTATCTGTCAAATTTATAAAATTATTTATTTATTTAATCCAGGCTTATATTGATCTCCTAATGCCCCCTATGCTACAGAAGTGGTACTCCTTAAGTGACGATGATAAGAACCTCTTCCCTTTGCTTGAGGTAATCTCATACAACACTAACTTATGAATGGAGCTTTTGAACCTTAACCTTTGATTAAAAGCTCTTCATCCACATGGATTATTACATGTATTTCTCCTTTATTGTGTAGTGTCTCTCATCAGTCGCCACGGCCCTACAGAGTGGGTTCCTACCTTACTGCGAGCCGATATTCAGACGCTGTCTAAGCCTCATCGAACAAACCCTTCACATGGTCAAAGCCTCGCAGATGAACCCAGAGTTCTTTACGACTACGCCAGAGAAGGACTTCATGATAGTGTCCCTGGATCTCCTCAGTGGCCTCGTGGAGGGTATTGGTGCTAATATTGAGCCTTATGTGTCAGGCAGTAACATAATGAGCCTCTTGTTCGAGTGTATGCAAGATCCATTGCATGACGTGAGGCAAAGCTCGTTCGCTTTGTTAGGCGATCTCACTAAAGCTTGTTTCCAGCATGTGGAGCCTTGTGTTGGTAAGTCCTTACATGCACATGTATATTGAATATAATACATGTACATGTAGCTTGAACTTTCAGTTGATTTACATGTACTACATGCACTTACAAGTACAAGTATATGTTTAATATAATTATTTAAAGTTTTTGCTATTTTATTTAGTGACTAATAATTCAGGATTAATTTTACCTTTAAAATGCTTTTAAAATTTAAATTAAGATTTGCATACAATGTTTGACAAATTATGCACAACTCTAAAATTTGTATTTGGAACGTTCTCCATGATGGGAATTGGAATAGAAAGATTTTAGAAACCTTTTATAGTCATGTACATATGCATGTACGTGTATGTACATGTATGCACCTATACATGTATGTATGCATGTATGTATGTACTTGCTCTTGTGCCAAAATTTTGAAGACTCCTAGTACAATTATATTTTCATTATGCAGATAATTTCATGAAAGTCTTGAGTCAGAACCTCAACCCTGAGTTCCTCTCTGTCTGCAACAACTCAACGTGGGCCATCGGAGAAGTATCGATGAAACTCCGAGCGAACATGAAGCAGTACCTTCACCTCATTCTCTTCAGACTTATAGAGAACATCAATAGACCCATCACGCCGAAAACCCTATTGGAGAACTCCGCTATCACTCTCGGGCGACTCGGCTACGTCTGCCCGGCCGAAGTCGCCCCTTATCTGAATCAGTTTATCAGGATTTGGTGTACGTCGCTTCGAAACGTGAGAGATAACGAAGAGAAGGATTCGGCATTTCGTGGCATGTGTGCGATGATTTCGCTCAATCCTCAAGGCGTTGCGCAGGAATTCATGTTTTTTTGTGACGCCGTCGCTTCCTGGACCGAGCCCAAGGATGATCTCAAGGAAGGGTTCTTCAAGGTGGGCATTTATTAGAAATAATTTTTTAATTGTGTGGGGTTGTTGGAAAAAACTTGCTTTTTGTGAAAGATTGTCATATCAATGCTTTTAATTCCTCTCTGTATGATACATAGTACTTTTAGCTTAGCTTCAAAGTGATTAACTGTCTTTGTTAAATTTTCTGTTGCCCTTTAGTAGCTACATGTACACTGTATAGGCCTTGTTAAATTATGCTTTTATTTTTGCCTATTATTCTATTCTCAGATTCTTCTATGTATTGCCCATTATTCTAATTAAACATGCCTATTATTCTACTATTATTCATTAATATAAAGTAATTAATATAACAAAAATATTTCAATCATGATTAATTGTGATGGCATAATTAATCATACTAATAATTATAGTCTATAGTTTTATAGTCTATGACTATACTTTATCAATTTATAATTTTTTTAAAAAAGTTCTCATAAATACTGCCTATTATTCTGGAATTATTCTTGATTCTATGAATTCCCTATTATTCTCAAAATTATTCTAGCATAATTTCACAGGGCCTAACACTGTAGCTGTGTCTCATTTGTGGCCCATGTACTGTCAGTAATAGTAGCTACACTAGCTGTGTCTCATTTTGTGGCACATGTACCGTCAGTAATATTTTTAAAAGATTGGTTGCATGCATTCAAGTATCTTTATACTCTTTCCTCCTCTCTCATTCTGAAATGTACATGTATACCACTATTGTTGTTATCATTATTATTTATTATTATTATTATTATTATGTATTGTAGATATTCAATGGGTTTAAGACTAATGTTGGTGACAATACGTGGCAAGAATTTGTTAGCCAGTTTCCGTTGTCTCTGAGGGAAAAACTGGCTAAAATATACCCAGTATTTTGAGAGAAAAAAAAAAGCTAAAATAATAATTGCTAATGAATATGATCATCACCTTTATTGAATTATCAGTTTATCTTTATTATGAGTTGTTATTATTATTTTTCATTATTAGTAATGTTTTATTTATATAAAGCTGCTGTCTGATATCTCAGTCATCAACTTGTAGCCATCTCCTCCCGTTATTTTTTTCTCATTATTTTTTGAGAATTTTTATTTTGATTGTCTGTGACTTGGGCATGCAACTCCGCCATTGGTGGGTGTGGTCACTAGTGTTGGGCGTGTCCATTACTGGTGGGTGTGGTCCAAGTTCTATTGACAGTCATAGTTGTTTATTATTAGGATATTATTATTATTTATTGCAGATATCTTTTGCAATAGTTTATATTCTGACTTATTATTTGAAGAATTTCCTCTTATTTTGGCAATTTGCGCCATTCTTTTATTTATTGGACGACGGTAATTTATTATTATTATTTATTATTTCATTTATTAATTTTATTATCATTTTTATTATTCTTATTGTTGTTATTATTGTTATCATAATTATTTGTTATTATTTTCATATTATTTGTTTTTTATTATTGTGAGATGATTTTATTATGATTTGTACCTGTTAATTATTGTTATTATTATTATTAAATTTATTGTTGAGTACACTAAAGTGATTTGATTTTGCATTCAAATTCAATCACTGTATTAAGAACTTTTGTGTAATATAGAATTTATGGGAACTAGTACAACAGAATAAGGTCTTATGTAGATATATATAATCTTCGATTTTTGCATGTGTTGTAATGTTTTTTTCTTGCAAAAAATTATGCTGTGTGTTAGTAGGTCTGTTTGAAGGAAGGTTGAAACTCGGATGTTTCTGCAATTTGGTGATAAAGTATTGAAGAAGGTGTGGTCAAGTCTCAATCAGATCATGTGGACATAGATAATAGAGTAAATATGATGTGGAGTGGAGGGATGAAGCTAAAAATCCTTCGAGTCTTGGTATGGTTGGATTTCTATTGATTCTTTTAATGAGCATTAAGTATCAATATAAATAGCTTGTAAAACTAAAATTATTTGCATTATTTAGGTATTATTAAGTTTGCCTCGTCATCTTAAAATAGCTAGAAACTTGTCCATATCGTAATCTGTCAGATCATTCCCAGCCTACTGTCCACCCAAAATGACTATTCTAACTAGCAGCATAATTAGTTTCAGCCAACTTGAGTCACAAAACAAATGGACCTTTCTATCACTATGCATTTAGTAAAGGTGCCCGCCATGTCAGGTTTTCCCACAAAGCATGCTAACTGAGCTAAGCAGCATGCTTCATTATAGTACATAGCATTTGGAGCAACTTCAAAAATTTGTTAAAAAATTCAAATTTGAACTGAATCTGCTTTAAGTTGATATATAGCATAAGAACATGGTGTGAACATGCTGTGTACGTGTGAATAATATGTGCATTGTCTACGATTAAAGAATGTGCCTTCTTTACAATTATTTGCTGAATAACTCTGACATACCGGTAGATTATCTGGGTGACAAAATTCATGATGTTGCTTTTTATGCTGATTCGTTTAAAGCAATGGCTACAAGGTATGTATGCTTACCAAATGTTTTCCTAATCTAAAAGATGCAGAAAAGAATGAAATTTTAAATTTGTATGGAATATTCAACAGTGGTACACTAGGTGGTTCAAGACATATTCTCCTTTCACTATTGAGTCATATGATCCTTTAGACTGGATACAGCAAAATAATAATAATAATAATGATAGCAAAAGATGATAATAATAATAATAATAATAATAATAATGATAGCAAAAGATGCAGAAAAGAATGAAATTTTAAATTTGTATGGAATATTCAACAGTGGTACACTAGGTGGTTCAAGACATATTCTCCTTTCACTATTGAGTCGTATGATCCTTTAGACTGGATACAGCAAAATAATAATAATAATAATGATAGCAAATGTGCATATAGGAGCATAATTATGAGCAATTAGTAATATTCTTAAAATACTTCTCAATTGACCTATTCTCAACAACTGGAGTATCGCAGGCTGAATAATTTTTCCAGTTTGGTCTGTAATGATATGATAATCCAACATCATCTGGAACTGAGAACTCTTTTGTATAATGCTTTGATCTATAAGTAAATAAAAAGTGTACCCATGGTATGTACACGGCATCTGGTTTTAGGATCATTTTCTTTGTACTAGGACTTAAACAAAGACAGCTCTTGGTCCTTTTGAAGTACACAGATAATGTGTCACGATCTATTTCAGAGCAGCTACCAGATTGTAGAGCTTCTTCAACTACTGGAAGAAGTGATCCATTGTCCTTCATCAGTGTATTAGTGAATACAAATGATGCTACTGGTTTCTCTGATTTATGTAATGTTTCTACATGTAGTATCAGCTCTGGTAATGTCTTGTTCTTCTGA